TTCTCAATCTCCTGGACTGGATGTTCGTCCAGGTCACACCCATTAACTGTAGGTGGCCCCCAGGGTTCTTCTCCCTCTACCCCATTTTTCTTGGAGATCTCATCAGTGACTATGGTTCAACGATCATCTCTGCTGATGACTCCTCTGCTTAGCCAGTGTTAACCTCTCTTCAGACCCGTGGCTACCCTCTACAACTGTCCATTGGGCATCTCAAACTGGATGTCCCACAGACATGTTAAACTCAGCATGTCCAGAACTGAACTTAACATCTTTTCCCCTCAAACCCTCGCCCTTCCAAACTTCCCTGTCATTACTGAAGGCACCACCATCCTCCTGGTCACTCGGGAGCTTACTGGGCTTACTATGGGGGTCACACTGAACTCCTCTCCCCCCATCCATATCCCATCTGTCACCAAAGTCTGTCCATTTTGCCTTCTCATAGCTGTCATCCACACCCCCTCTTCTCTGACACTGCCACCACCCTAGTGCAAGGCCTGGTTTCCTCATTCCTGCTGGGGGTCTGCCTGCCACAAGCCTCTCCCCGCTTCAGCCCATTCTCCATTCAGCTGAAAAGTGATCTTCCTAAAGTGCAGGTCTGACCATATCACCCTACTCAGTAACTTTGGTAGCCCTCTGTTATCTCCAGGGTCTGCTATCAACCTCGGTTTGGTGTTCAGAGCCCTTCACAGCCTGGCCCCCCTCCACCTTTCCAGTCTTGTTACACCTTGCATCCCCCCCTTCCCATAACTCCTTGATCCAGTGACACTGGCCTCCTGGCTGCTCCTCTAACAAGACCCTCTATGTCCTGACTCCGGGCATTTTCACCGACTGTCCCCCATGCCTACAATGTCCTCCCTCCCCATCTTCCTCTCCTGACCTCCCTGGCTTCCTTCAAGTCACCGCTAAAATCCTACCCACTACAGGAGGCCCCTCCCAACTTCCCACACTTCTAAAGCCTTCCCTCTCTTGACTATTTCCATACTGTCACCCCATTAGACTCAGCTCCATGAGGGTTGTCTTTTGTCTTTCTTTATGTCCCCAGGACTTAGCAGTGCCTGGCTCTTCCATAGATAGTCTACATCCTACATACACAACTATTTGTAAAACAAACTAAAAAGAGTGGGGAAAACCAGGGTCGGCCTTTTTCAGCGAATTGGAATGGAAACATTTATTGACTGACTATGACTCGCTCATTCTCCTCAAATCAGCGCTGGGGCCACAGTTGAGGAAGGATATTGACAAACCAGAAGAGGGCAGCCAGGACCAGAGTCCATGCTGTATCAGGAACAATTTTAAGAACGAGGGGGTGTTTGGCTCAGAGAAACCTCAGGGGGAATGCGATACCTGCCCTGGAAAATACGAAGGGCGGTCATGAGGAAGAGCTTATCTGCTGGACAGAACCAGGGGTGATAGGAGGTGGAAGCATCGGTTGGAGGCATGGTTAAACTTGAAAGGAAAACCATTTGGAAGTGTCCAAAGTTGGAAGGGATTGCCGTGGGAGGCAGGGTGCCTCTTGCCACTGAAGATAGGCAGAGGCAGGGCTACCACTAGTCAGGATGTGGTGGGGAGCACTCTTGGTGATGTCCAGGTTTGACTAATTGCTCTCCAAGTTAGGCTGCCTGGCACACTGGCTCTGCTACTTCTTCGTTTTGTGACCTTAGACAACTCACTTCCTCGCCCTTCTCTGGACTGCCTCAGTTTCTCCAGCTGAAGACTGAGGAGTGGGACTAGATGAAGTCTAAGGGCCCTCCCAGCTCTAGGCTTCTCACCCAGGCCCATCCAGGCTTGTGACTCAGTGGCAGGGGCTCAGGGCTTCCTCTGGTTTATGACTCCCAAAAACATCTATCCAGACAGGGACTGAAATGGTTACATTGGAATATAATCTTTCCCCTTGTCATTCATTCCAACATTCCAGGCTGTCTGGAGGCTTTCCTGATCCGGTTCTGGCCCCCAACCTGCCTGTCCATCCTATCCCCATCCATACACAGCCAAGGCTGAAGGCAAGCCCCCACTCCCAGCCCTTTGCCTGTGTCACTAATGGCCACAGGGAGCTTTGGGCATGCTGGGATGGGGAGGGGGGAGAACAGAGCACAGAGACAGGGTCTGGGGCTCTTTCCTTCTGCTCCCTCACTGCACGACTCTCTGGGCCTCCGTCCCCTCAGGTGTAAAATGAGGAAAATCACCAGGGAGCTCTGTGGGATAGTGACAATGGAGACAAAGGAGAGTGTTGGGTTGAACTGTTTTAGGAAGGATCTCGGTAGAAGGGGGGGTGACCCCCGGGATGAGGTAAGGTCTTTGACAATCAGCTGGAGAACCTGGGAGAAGAGAAAGTTCAGGGAGAACGGGATAACTGCTTCTAAGTATCTGAGGGGCTGTGGAAGAAGGATTACACTGATTCTGCCTGACCCAGAGGAGAGTGAGGAGAGCTGCCTTAGGAGGGAGGGAGGAAGGAAAGAAAGGAGAGGAAGAGGGAAAGGAAAGAGAGAGGGAGGAAGAGAGGGAAGGAGGGAGGAAGAGAAGGAGGGAGGGCAGCAGGGAGGAAGGGAGGGAGAGAAGGAGGGAAGGAGGAAGGGAGGAAGCTCTCCACCCCCAGAGGATTCAGGCAGAGGCTGGAGGACTGCTTTTAAGGGATGAGGTAGAGAGACTCTTGTCTGGCTGCAAGCTGGGCGAGCCGCCTCCTCTGCCCAGAGCATTCACTGGCCACCACGTGACACCCACAGGTCACAAACACTTCCCATTGAGGGGCAGAGGGCTGCAGTATTTATTTTCTATTTTCAATAACCTTATTCTTAATTCTAACAAGTTTTTGTTAGCTGTCGTCAGGCACTGACATAATAAAATGAGAGCAGGATTGGATTTTTCCATTCCATTTCACTGAAAAAGGCTAACATTGTTTTTCCTCACATTTTTAAAATTTGTTTTACAAATAATGACTATTGTGTATGCAGAATATAAAACATCTATGGAAGAGTCAGGCCTGGAACACCATGGGCATATTTTATACATGTCTACACAGCTACTTGCTGGCTGTGGGATCCTACGCAAGTCACTTAATCTATTTGCCTCAGTTTCCTCATCTTAAAAAGAAGTTGTCATGAGAATCAAATGAAATCATTGTCAAGCACTCAGCACAGTGCCTGGCACACAGTAGGTGCTATATAAATTTATTATTATTATTATTGTATAGATGCATGTATGTGGAAACCCAAAGCAACAGAGACAGAGAGAGAGAGACAGAGAGAAAGAATGAGAGGGAGGGGGGAGAGGGGAGAGAGGGGAAGGGGGAGAGGGGGAGGGGGAGAGGGGGGAGAGAGAGACAGAGAGACAGAGAGAGGGGGGGGAGAGACAGAGAGAAGGAGAGAGACAGAGAGAGAGATAGGGAGAGAGAGACAGAGACAGAGAGACAGGGAGAGAGAGAGAGACAGAGAGAGAGACAGGGAGAGAGAGACAGAGACAGAGAGACAGGGAGAGAGAGAGACAGAGAGAGAGACAGGGAGAGAGAGAGAGACAGAGAGACAGAGAGAGAGAGACAGAGAGAGAGACAGGGAGAGAGAGAGAGACAGGGGGAGAGAGAGAGAGAGAGAGAGAGAGAGAGAGAGAGAGAGAGAGAGAGCGAGAGAGAGAGAGAGAGCAGAAGAGCCATGTGAAAACACCCTTCAATTTCCCTCTTCTGCACTGGGCAGTAGTGACTGTAGGGAGCCTCTGTCAGTCAGGCTGACTTCCCCAGCCTCCTTCCAGTTTTGACTTTCCCATCCTTACCAATGACAGCCAAGAATGCTCTAGCCTGGGAGTTTTTAACCTTTTCTGGGTCTTGGACCCCTCTGACAGTCAGTCTGGGGGAGACTATGGACTGAGTTTTCTCAGAATCATGTTTTTAAAGACATACAGTAAAACACATAGGATTACAAAGAAAACTCCAGGTTAGCAGAAATAAAGACATAAATTTCTTTCCTCACCCACGTTCATGCCCCTCCCCCATCTCTGTTCTAGCCCATCCCCAGTTCTCTAGTTATTAAGGCTAAGATGGCAGCTGGGGGTGGCTAAAGCTTTCCTTTTGCTCCTATTTGCCCGCGGGCTGACTTCTGCTCTCTTTTTGGGTGTGGCGATGGTTTGGCAGGCCTCATAAACACCCCTAGAGTGGAGGATGATGGGATGGTATCTCAGCTATTCCTTCATCCTCCTCATCACTCATCACCCATACCCCCAGGCCCACCTGGCTATTAATCAACCAACATTTATAATCTACTATGTGCCAGGCCCTGTGCTAATCACTGGGATAATTCCATCCCCAGGGGGCAGGAGGCACCTTCCTTGTTTTCCATCCTCCTCCTCTGCTCATGATTGTACCAGGAAAACCACAGAGACTAGTCATGGGCACTCTAAGCAAGGATGAGCTGGACCTGTCTCACCTCCGTGGACTAAATGTTTCACAGGTGAAGGATGCTGGTGGCCTGTCTGGCCCGCTGCTAACTTCAGGGTCTCATTCTCTCTTACCTTGGGAATGGGCACATGGTCCCCTTGTGTCAAATGCGCTCCTTCCCAAGGTATCACTTGTCAATAAGCTTGGATATCCTTTGGTTGTTAAGTAGACAGCAAGAGCCAGGTGGCACCAGAGTGCACAGAGTACTGGGTGTGGAGTCAGGAAGACCCGAGTTCAAATCTGCCTCAGACCCTTACTAGCTGTGTGACCCTGAGCAATTCATTTAATTTCTCTCAGCCTGTTTTCTCATCTGTAAGGGCACCTCCCTTCCAGGCGTGTTGTGAGGCATGTGAGACGATGTATGTAAAACACTTTGCACACCTCCAAGAGCTCTCTATCCATTCTCCTGTTATTAAGTCCCTGATCAGGGTTGATTACTGGATCATCTGTTCTTGTTCTGTGCCACTACCCAGGTCACTAATTGGGTCCATTACCTTGAGTTTGAAGCCATATGTGTGTGTGTGTGTGTGTGAGAGAGAGAGAGAGAGAGAGAGAGAGTGTGTGAGTGTGTGTATGTGTGTGTGTGTATACATATACATTATATATACATAGACATATATATACGTAGACATATACATGTATTTTTTTGAGGGGCTGAGGAACAGTACTAAAGGTCTTCAGGCATCTATATTGATGAAGTAATGGACTTTGTCACTAGCTATGACCCTGGATAAGTTACTTGTCCACTCCCCCAAATATTCCTCCTAGGTCCAAGAGAGGGATGGACCAGAGACAGAGGTTGCTGAAGGAGTCAGATCACTTGATGAAGGCTCAGCCCCAAACAGGTAGCTGTGACCACTTGATTAGCTGATCATATGCTTCAGGCGATGGGTAAACCAGGACCCATGCTGGAAATTTGGCTGCAAAGAGGCAGCCAAGCCTTGTATTGGGGACTGGGGGAAGGGGCAACTGGGTGGATGAGACCATGGAGGGAACCAAGCATTTGGACTTCAACTGAGCAAGCTTGGGAACCCAGCCTGGGTGGGTTCCATGGGAGCTGCAGCTGGAAGAGACTTCATCCCCTCCTGACGCCCCCCCTTTTACTGAGGAAGAAACTGAAGCCCTGAGAGGACCAAAACTTGCGCGGTGTTGTAAATAGGAGAATCATGATTCAAACCTATGTTTCTGGCTCCCAGTCTTGGGATTTTTCCTTTGAAGCCTCAGGATTTCTGGAGTGCCTTTGCAAAACCACGAACAGATAAGAAAGCCTGGAGGGGGGACCATAGAGGGACTAGACAGTGCATGTGGGAGTGAGGTGCCCCCCCCAAATCAATCAGGGGAGACAGCAGACATGGCAACTGAATGCCATTAACAGTAGCAGCAGTTTGGACTCTTGAGTGCCCAGAACTGGTACTGGAAGGGATCTGAGAGGTCATTTAACCCAATCCATACCTGAACAGGAGTCTTTGTGGTCATTGAATCTCTGCTTAAATATCTCTACTGGCAGGGAGGTCACTATCTCCTAGCAAAACCATTACACCTTTGAACAGCCCTGATTGTTAGGAAGCTTTTCCCTGACTAAGCTTGGGGAGAAGGTGTTGAACAGAGAGGTCATGATTAGGGTTTATCTGGGGGAATTTGAAGCACTTCCCCATAGAAAGTGTGGCCAAGACCACTGGCATCTTGTGGGGAGGACACAGCATTTCTGATTGACTCCCAGAGGTGGGGGATATCTCCAAGATGATTGGCTGGCCAGGACTGAGAAGGATGACTCTTGTCAGAGAAGCTGAGTCTCTTATGGTCACAAAGTACACCGACAGGCCAGTCTCTCATGGAACTCCTTTTTCCTCACCCGTGTGGTCCCCCAGTTTCCTCCCCCCACCCAAGGAATTGAGCATGGCTGCTGCTACAGATGGTCTGAGAAGAAAGATTATAAGTACCCGCTTTCCCTGTCCAAGAGTTGGCAGCACCCGGACACTGACACTGTTACCCAAGCACCCTGATGCAGAAGCGCATGGCTGGGGCATGTCCACACGGTCCCAAAGCACAGATGATAGACAGTGTTCATGAACATCTAACTCCTCTGTGGAGAATGGAGAGCTTTTTGATTCTCCATGTGATTCTCTAATCTAACCTTCAAGACAGACAGATTTCCCGAGGCGGTTTGCTCAATGGAAAAAGAAAAAGATCACCTGCCTAATTCCTGAGGACATCCTACTTAAGAAGCAAAGCCAGGGATGGATTGAGGAAGCGCACCTCCTGTGGGGAGGGGATTGATTGTTCAGTAGCCCTGACGTGTGTTTGTTTCTCAGCCTCATCCAAACTGGGGGGTGTCCCAATCCGTGGGAGGGAGCAGGTGGCTGTGGAGGACCTCGGTGGCCAGCTGGGGCTCCATCAGAGTATCCAAGGGCTGTCCCAATGGCAATACCGATCATTTCCCTTCTCAGAGGACCCAGTGGGCTCTACGTGATTCTGTATCTGCTTGTGGATTCCTCTGAATGCATTGCAAACTCTTCATGTTTTACAGGGTGGAATAAAGCCAATCCTTCACATCCATACAACTGCCCAGTGGAGGTGCAATTGTCCTGGAGTCCCTCCAGGTGTGGGGCAGTGAGCCAAAGTGGGAAGATGATGCCAAGCTCTCGAGTCCTGCCCTCCCCCATCGGATTTAGGTCTGGGGGAGCCCAGAAGGTTGGGGGAGGGTCATGGATGATTTGTACACTGAGCCAAAGTCCGCCTCTTGGCAGCTTCCTCCTGTGCATCTGCTCAGCTCTCAGAGGCTGAGGAAAACGATGGTGATCCCTCTCTCCTTTTAGCCCTTCAAACACTCAGGGGAGCTGAGGGTTTGGCTCAAGAAGGGCTTAATCATCCCTCCCATGATGAGGACCCAGCACTCTGGAGGGGGACTCAGTGTCTGGAAAGCTATGGAGGACCCCAGAAGAAGGCTCAGACTTGTCCTGCTCGGTTCCCCCGGAGCCAAGTTCAAAGCTGGGCACTGGGAGGGCGTGCAGAAGGGTAGATTCAGGTTCAAAGGGAGGAGAAAGCTCCCAACAATTAGAGATAGCCAAAAGTGCAATGGCATTATCTCTGGAGCTAATAAGCTTCCCACCAGGTAGGGACCAGATGCCCTCTGAAGACCCTCACAGAGAGGCAAAGGGGCAGAACCCTGGCATGGGGCAGGGGATGGTCAGGAAACTGGCCTGGCTGGGGGGTGGGGTGGCAGTGAGGATTTGTCCAGGCCAAAGCTGAGGGAGAGGATAGAGGATGTAGTCATGATAGAAAGAGCCCTAAATGCCAGACTCAGAAACACGCTTTGAATGATTTTGAGATGGGAATGAAAGTCACCACTGAGAATTAAGAGGAAGAGCCTCTCAACCTGTGCAGGGGGACACTGAGTCAGAGCTGTCTGCAACTGTGCAGGCTGAAAAAAGGCAGACAAAGGACCCCCTCACTGGGGGATGGGGAGAGGCCTGGACGGTGGAGAAACAGTAATCGGGGTTCCCATGTCAGCCTGCCCCTCAGCCCCAAACAACTCAACTCAGCAGTGTTTATTAATTTCCTGCTATGTGCCAGGCCCTGTGCTAGATGCCAAAAAGGACACAGTCCCTGCCCCCCCCCAGGAGCTTCCACTCTACTGGACAGTCAGACGGCTGGACTCCTGCCAAGAGGCCCCAACCAAAGACCCAGAGAGGCACCAGGGAGGGGGCAGGGCAGAAAGCAGTGTCCTAAGGCTTGGCAGAGCTCCCAGGCTGCACATAGGATCCCAGGCTTAGGAACCGAGCCAGTGCACGCCCCAGATGTGCTGGGAGTCCAAACAACAGACCAGCACCAATTTCTAGGGTTGTTGGAACAGTAGAGGCTCCTCTAACCCCTCACCGAGCCATGGGCCCTGGGTTACAATCTTGGGGTAGGGGTGCCAGGGTCTGAGGCAGAGAAGACGTGGCAATCATGTTCAAAGAGCTCCAGCCATCAGGCCCAGTAACAGTGGAGGAATTTCTCATTAGGCCTCAGAGCAGAGGGAGAGAGAGGGCGAGGGGCAATGGACTGAGGGGGGAAGAAATGGAGGGCATTTGGAGAGCCTGTGCAGCCCCTCAGTTAAATCAGGACAACATCAAGTCCCAGAGACCACCTGGAGTGCCATGGGCCTTCAGGGCTCTGGTAGTGAGCCAGCCCAAGCCTGGCCTACGGCCACAGTCCTGGGGAACCATCCAGCTAGCAGGAGTTCTTGGGAGGAGGCAAGGGCTCTAGGAGGCTCTGATGCTGCCCAGAAGAGGCCAGAGCACTGGCTAGGAGGTGGGCACTGGCCTCTGTCCTTAGGGAGATGCACGAGCTCTTCTTTCCCACCTGGGGGCACGGTTGAAGATGATGCCAGTGAATGGACTGCCTGACCCAAGCCTTGAGCCAGTGAGGCCCCCCACGCTCCCACCTTCCTGAAGCCAGATCTCAGGGAGGCTGTGAGCCCCTCCGCCCCTGGCCCACCTGGCCTGGCCCAAGACATTCTCAGGCCTCCCTAGCTTTGCCCCCTCCACAGAATCCAGGCCCTGGGCACCTACTTGTGGATGGTGAGATGAGAGTCATGTGGCCTTCGGTGCTTCTTCCTGTAGGACCTGTCTGGGAGAGAAGGAGAAAGCTCAGCTCAAGGCCGGGCCAAGAACCTGGAGAAGGGGATGTTCAGCCCTCACAGTCAGAACCCCTGTGCCCAGCCGTGGGGCACACCCTGACTTGTACCATTAGTGTTCTCAGTGTGTCTCCTCTCCCACCTAAATGATGAGCTCCCTGAGGGCAGGGTCTGGGGGGCTTCTCCTCTGTACTCCCCAAAACTGGGAGCTCCCTGAGGGCAGGGTCTAGGGGGCTTCTCCTCTGTACCCCCCAAAACTGGGAGCTCCCTGAGGGCGGGATCCGGGGGGCTGCTTCTCATCTGTCCTCCCCCAACACACATTACAGCTCCCTGGGGGCAGGCAGAGCCTAGGCAACATTCACTCGAATTTGAGCTGACCTATATCATAGCTCAGCTGGGCTGAGCTCAAGACAGCAGCCTATTCCATCTTTACAGCAAGCGCTGATCTTACAAAGGGCTTGGTCCCAGCACCTGAAAGGCTCACTACTCAAAGGCAATGAGGGGCAAAGTAACACCCCCCCCCACCCCCCGCCGCTACCCCTCCCACCTCTGCTGGCAAGTGCGTGGCCAGGGAATCAAATCCGGGGCTCCTGACTTGGAGGTGGGAATTCTTTGCACTACCTCACACCTCTGAAGGCAAGGGCAACCCTAATGCGGACCAGCTGGGATAAACATTGAGAGAGGCATTTGCTAAGCATGTACTGTGTTTGTACATATGTGCTGTTTGTATGCCCCCAAGAGGTAAGAAAGAAATGAATAAGATCTGAGGGTCTTAGTGGACGCCAGGCTTAACACATACTGGTTGCCTTTGCAGTGAGATGAGACAACTAAGAAAGCTTATGGACTCAGGGGCTGTAATGTAAAGTAGAAGGAGGTCTAGGAAGCCGGGGCGGGGGAGGGGGGTGAGTCAATGCCTCTGCTGCTCTCTGCCCTGGTCAGACTGCATTTAGACCGTTCTGCTCAATCCTAGACACCACGTTTTAGGTGGGACATTGAGAATCTGGAGCGAGTCCAGGAGAGGCCAGTCAGCCTGGTGATTATCTCTTGCAAGGACTTGGCACCTGGGAGGTTTAGGGTGAAAAGAAAGCTGAGGGGGCACCTGAGAACTGTCTGCAGGTACTTGGAAGACTGAGGCTGGGGAGGGATCAGCTGTGTTCTAGGGAGCAAATCCAGCAAGGGGGAGGCTGATTCAGGCTGGAGGTCAGGAAGGTGTCCCAGAGTGGATAAGTGCAGAGGAGACCTGACCCAGGGCACTCCTGCTCTGGGCTGGGCCACAGAGGCCCCGATGGCTCCTGCATCCCTGAGCTCACTCTCACTCTCTCTCTCAAGGAAATGGTTCCCTCCTGGCTGAGTGGGACCTGGGATGGGGCTCTCAAGGTCACAGCCGAGACTCATGATTTGTCATCACTTGGCGTGGCTCCAGTCTGAGAGCATGTGTCCTTGTTGTCCCCAGTTTCTGAGAAAAATGATTCTGGAAACAAGAGGACAAAAGCTGTACCCCTGGGATTCAAAGAAAAGGCTTGTGAAATCGGGCCCCTATAGACAGATACAAGAAGCAATCAATTCCAGATGCCCAGCACACTGGGGCTTTGTGCCAGGAGGTCTGCTCAGGCTGCAGTGGGGTCCCCACGGAGACGGGCGAGCCCTCCACGCCTGCCCCTTCGGGGACTCCCACTCCCTTAGCTTTGGGGGCTCTTGTGAACAAAAGCATCTTGGCCCCTGCATTACAAGGATTGTTTCTTTTTCTGCTTCAACTTAGACTGAGCTTTTTGACAGCAAGGACGGTCTTTTGTTTCTCTTTGTATCCCTAGAGCTTAGCATAGTGCCCTGGCACATAACCTGACCTAGATTTGTGCTTAATAAATGTTTGTTGACTGACTTCAGGCTTTGGGGCCCCACAGAAACCCAAGAGGGTCCTATTGATAATGGTGGCTAATAATCAATGAAGAAGGACTTTAGCCTCACCTACACGGGGGGATTCCAGGCCCTGAGGTCACTGGTGGACCCTTCTACACTCCTCTGCACCATCTCAGATGGGGGGTGCTCCCTGAGGACAGAGCTGTCACCTCTCAGATAGGAAGTTTGCCTAACAAATGGGTACCATGGGGCTGGAATCAATGAGCTCGGGCAATGATCCAGAATGGTCTTTGGGGGAGAATCTGGGGTCACCTGGTCCAGCCCTGGTGTGGATGGGTCACACACATGCCCAACCTCCTGCCCCTTCACTGCCTCCTCATCTTGCTAGTCTGCTCCCCTCCTTCCAGCACCATCGAGGGAAGGAGCACATAGACCTGCTCCCTTCCTTCCCTTCCTGCCCCTCCTACCCCTGCAGGTTTGAAAGCCTGCTACAAGCTCCCCAGAGCTGGGCGGGGAGGGGCTGGGCTGGCACATTCCATGAGGATGAGCCTTGAGCCCTGCACGGGAGATGGTCCTAAAGGGACCTCCCACTCTGGCAGGGTGCCAGCCCCACCACACCCCCACATGTCAGACATTTTCTATACATCTGCTCATCCCAGATCAACCTCTGGCCTGCTCAGGCAGATGGCAGGCTGTTGGGAGCAGGATAGAGGTGAAAAATGAGGACAGGAACCAGGGAGGGCTAAGGACTCTAACCTAGGGCTGCTGCCTCTCAGGCTACTGCTCCAACAACCACAGGCACCCCTTCTATTCTCCCCAGGACCCAGGGAACCAGACGCCTGGGCACTGCCTGCAGACCCATTTTGAGGGGAGTTGGAAGAGACCATTGAGACCACAGAGGGCAATCCACTTATTGTACAAAGACCCAAAGACTTGCTCATAATCACCTGGTAGTAAATGGCAGAGGTGGGATTGCACCTTGGGTCCTCTGCTCCCCTGCTGTATGGTGCCTGCTTCCTCTCCCCATGCCTACTTAAGCCCCAGGAATCTCACCCTACTTCCTATCCAGGGGAGGCTTCTAGCTCTGGCCCAGCCCTTTGCCAATGAAAGCCAGGTCCCCACGCCTTCTTAGGGCTGTCCAAACCCCTCTGAACCCCAGCCTTCCCTGGGGAAGAGAAGCCTCTGTCTTATAGAGGGCACAGTGGGTAGGGGGCAGTCCTTAAGTATCAGGAAATATGGGGAGGGGCTGGGTGGGAGGACAGAGGATCTTCCTAGGCCCTTCCCACAGCACTGGATACCTCCCCACACACCACAGGTTAAAGTTAAGTGGCCAAGCCCCAGCTATTCCCAAGGTATCAGCCTTAGCCTCTGGGAGCCCAGGTTAAGATGTCTGTGGCCACCAGGGCTGCCCCACATCCACAGCAGGTCTTTCTGGGTCCAGAGCAGAGGCCCAGTTCTCCCCCAGACCCTGATCTGGCTCTCTGCTGCCCAGTCCTCAGACATCATGCCCTAGGGACAGGAGACACCCCTTCTCGACCTCTCCTTGGGCCTCAAGGCTTTCAGAACAGAGACAAAAGATGTCAGGCCCTGAGAATATGCCTCATTTCCAGATCTCTACAGAGCAGGTACTCAGAAGGTCTGGTTTCCTGTTATTCCCCTGCCCCAATCTCACCCCCACTATATCTCCCCTTCAGAAAGGAGGCTCCCTGAGGGCAGGGCTGTCACCTCTCAGATGGGGGACTCCCTGAGGGCAGGGCTGTCACCCCTCAGATTGGTGGGGGACCTTAAGGGCAGGGCTATGTCACCCAGCTAGGGGCTCCCTTGGGGAACTCTGGGATAAAGAATGTTTACCCAACAGTCACACATCCCCACTCACTGCATCTGATGTCACACATCTGTTCAGGAACTGAGTAATCCACATCTGTCCTCCAGCCCTGTGGAGACCCAACAAAGATGATTATTCTTCTGTTCAAAAGTACAAACTACTCTAAGACTTTATCAGCCACATTACCTCCTTCAATCCTCATAGTAACCCAGTGAGGGGGGGTTTACAGGTATGATGAGTGTCTCTGTTTTACAGGGGGAAACTGAGACCCAGAGGGGAAATGACTTGGCCAGCTTTACACAATTAATAAGTGAGGGATAGAGATTTGAACTTGGACCCTTCCTGACTTCAGGGACAGTGGGTTGTTTTTTTTTCCCTACTCAATCACCCTCTGACATCCCTAAAGATGCCTCGAGGGCAGGCCCCCACATACTTCATTTTAGGACAGCTCTCAGGATTACATTTGGCTTCCAGTTCTTCCCCTTGGGCAGAACAAAGTTAATCCCACCTCTCCAAGGAGACCCTTCAGTTACCAGAAGGCAGATATCCCTCCCTCCCTGAAGCCTGCTCTTCTCAAGGTTAAACAGCCTTTCATCCTCCAAATGATGCTCAAGGGGCATGAACTTATGCCTGTCTTCTCTGGATTTCCCTTAGGCTTCTTAAGGTCCTTTCCTAAAATGTGTCACACAATACCCTTTGGCCCAGCACTGGCACTTCTAGGGCTGTATCCCAGAGAGATCATAAAAACGGGAAAAGGACCCACATGTACAAAAATATTTACAGCAGCTCTTTTAGTGGTGGCCAAGAACTGGAAATTGAGGGGATGCCCATCCATTGGGGAATGGCTGAACAAGTTGTAGTATATGAATGTAACAAAATACTGTTGTTCCATAAGAAATGATGAGCAGGTGGACTTCAGAAAAACCTGGAAAGACTTGTATAGACTGATTTTGAGTGAAGTGAGCAGAACCAGGAGAACATTGTACACAGTGACAGCCACTCTGTGCAATGGCTGACTTTGACAGAGTTAACCCTTCTCAGCAAAACAGGAACGTAAGACAACTCCAAAAGACTGATGATGGAAATTGCTACACACCCCCAGGGAAAGAACTCTGGAGTCTGAGTGCAGATGGAAGCGCACAATTGGCTCTCCTTTTCTTTTGTTGTTTTGTTTTATTGCTTCATTCTCGTAGTTTCTCCCATTAGTTCTAATTCTTCTATACATCATGACTAATATGAAAATATACTTAATATGAATGTATAAGTAGAGCCGGCATCAGATTGCACGCTGTCTTGGGGGGAGGAAGAAAATTTAAAACTCAAAATCTTATGGAAGTGAATGTCAAAAACTAAAAATAAGTAAATTTGTTACCAAGAAAAAAAATGTGGCACACAGCAGAGCCCAAGATGGCACATGGGGTCTGAACAGGGCAAAGTACAGTAGGACAATGGATCATCTCCCTATAGGACCAGGGAATCAGAGTTGGAAGGAAGCCTTCAAATCCAACCCCTCTCATTTTACAGATGAAGAGTCTGGGGTCTAGGTAAGTTAAGTGATACAGGTCATAGGTGGCAGTCAGGATTTGAACTCAGGCCCTCTGACTCCAGAGCCAATACCCTTTCCACTATGCCTCAGTAGTCCTGGACATGGAGCCTCTTTTAATGTAGCCCAGGTTTGCCTTTGCTTTGGGGGTCTGTTGTGTCATACTGTGTGCCCAGGAGTCCCTGAAAAGCCCCAGTCTTTCTGGCTCTGAACCACTATCTAGGCCCTCTTCTCCACTCTTGGTTTATACAGATGTCTTTTTGAAACAGAAAGGACTTTACATTAATCTCTTAATAAATGCTTGTTGATTGAATTAAATACCACTTTATGAGATTCGGCTTATTGTTTCATCAATTATTCCAAAGATTGGCATGAAAATTGTCTTGGACCCTGACTCTGGCATCCACCGCCTTTGTTTTCCTTCCTCTACGAGCTCCTGGAGGCAAACCACATGAGATGTCACAAGGCAGGACACATTCTGTGCCAAGGGAGGGCTCTGAGGTCAAAGCAGGGGAGGGAAAGCTCCTTCTGGGCTGGGGGAGGCTGAGGGATAGCACAGGGAGCTGGAACTCCATGCTCATCATTTCCTGATTTTTCTTGTCCAAAGAGCAGGGCAGGAAAGCCTCTAAAACCCTGGCTAGGTCAGAAATGGTCCCCAGGTCCCAGGGTCCCTGCTGGATCACTAATAGGATAACAAGGCTGGGAAGAGGACCCTCAGCCAGGTATTTGTTGTCTACACCTCCTGCCACTGTCTTCCACCTGTAGAGTAGCCCTTAGGAGACCTTGGACTGCTATGTAGTCTCCAGTGACTGTCACAGTGACTCCCTAGAACAGATTGCCGTCCCACCCCTATCCAGGAGCAAAGGGCTTAAAGCAGGCTCAAGAATTAGGGCTAGATTCCAAAGAAGACTAAGTTAGATTCAACCAAACAGGTAGATGAATAGTTGTCTGCCTTTGGCAATCTCCTTCCCCTTCACCTCCCACCCCCAGTCAGTCACAGAGCTTTGTGGAACCCACTTCTGTGATATCTTTTGGGCAAGTCATCTGACCTCTGTCTGCCTCAGTTTCTTCAACTGTAAAACAGAGATAATAACGGCACCTGCCTTATTATAGGGTTGTTGTGACGCTCAAATGAGATAATATTTATAAAGTGCTTATCACAGTGCGGGGCACATATTAGGCATCTGATAAGTACATATTCCCCATGGCTACCAGGCCCCTGACCTTTCACAATCACTTCCTATCAGGTCTTCCCCCCTCCCCCAATCCCTCCTCTTTCCTTCCTGCATTGGTCCCTCAAACACTGTCAGAAAAATTCAGTGAAGTTGTTCTTCTGCTCCAAGATCTCTGGGGGCTCCTTATTAACTACCGCGCCAAGGCCAAACTCTTCTACTCAGTGTTTAAAGCCCATCCAGCTCAGGTGCCACCCTACCTTTCTGGCTTCTCTCTCACATTACCCCCTTTCACACACTCTCTAATCGGGTCACACTAGACAATTCTGCCCCCAAACACTCCCTAAATTGTTCTGCTTCCACATCTTTGCTCAGGCCATTCCTCATGCCTGGAGTGCCTTCCCGCCCCTTTAACCTATTGAATTTCTGCTCTCTTTGAAGGCCACCTCCTCCAAGAAGCCCTTTTGCATAGGCTACAGTATCCCATTCTGCTATGACCTTGGCTATGACTGTATCATACGATGAGCACCCCAGCCCAGGCTCCCACAAAGAGATTGGCTGGAGGAATGCTTTCAAAGGCTATCTCTGTCACTTACCTGTGTGAGCAAACCACTAAGCCTTCCTGGACCTCAGTTTCCCACTTTGTAAAATGAGAGGGTTAGACAAGTGGTACCTTCAGGCTCTTTTCCTATGAGCCTGTGGCCTCCTCCTCAGGCCTCACAAGCCTTGGTAATTACAAAACTCTCTAATATACTTAGCATGTAACACCCTGGAAAAAAAGCTGGGGGGGGACATCAGTGAGACCCCCAGTATTAGATTTGTTGTGTTTGACCCAGAGGGCAGAGTGTGAGCAAAGAGGGGGTGTTTCCAATTTAAGCCAGATGCCAAGCAGAGCTTCCCCAAGGCCAGATGGAGAAGGGGTGAGGTTCCTCCTCCCTGGGACTGGCTCAGCAGTCTGGACATCTACTTGGTGAAGATGATTCTTTTTAGCCAGATGAACTCCCCAAAGGGTGCGATCCTACAGAGTTGGGACTCAGCTCTCTCTCAAGCCTGGGGTACACTGAATCCTCCTGCATATGCAGAGAGAGATGAGACTCGGTAGAGAGAATGCTGTGTGCTGCCGCCTACCTGCATGACAGACTTACCCAGTTGGCTCTAGATATTCTCCTGGGAAAGAGATGAGACCTCAGCTCAAACCGAGAGAGAGAGAGAGAGAGAGGAGAGAGAGAGGAGAGAGAGAGAGAGAGAGAGAGAGAGAGAGAGAGAGAGAGAATTTGGAATGGCTCACATTGGCCCCAGCTCTCTCTCTCTCTCTCTCTCTCTCTCTCTCTCTCTCTCTCTCTCTCTCTCTCTCTCTCTCCCTCCCTCCCTCCCTCCCTCTCCTCCCTCTCATCTCTCTCCCTCCCCCTCCCCTGCTGTGTCTCTCTCCTATCTTTCCCTGTCTCTCTCTCTGTCTCTCATCTCTCCCTCTCTGTGTCTTTCTCCTATCCCTCTCTGTCTCTCCGTCTCTCTGTCTCTCTGACCTCTCTCCTCCCTTTCTGTGTCTTTCTCCTAGCCCTCTCTCTCTCTGTCTGTCTCTGTCTCTCTCATCTCTCTCCCTCCTCCCTCCCTCTCTGTGCCTCTCTCCTATCTTTCTCTGTGTCTTTGTCTCTGTCTCTAGGTTTGAGCTGAGGTCTCATCTCTCTGTCAGCTGAAGAGCCCATTCATTGTTGTATATTCTTTGGTATGATCTCATTTCAGCAATTTCTCTGATTTCTGTTTGCTTGGCTAAACAAGGTTACTTGCTGTTTTCTATTTATGTGCTTTTTGTGTATCCAGGTGGGGTGGGAAAGGATGAGTGAAGTGAGATTCAGCCTCCTCCTCCAGAGTGTCCAGAGAAGGGGCTTTGCTTCTGAACCCAGCCTCAGCTGGCTAGATCAGAGATACTGACTTGCAGCCCTTCATCTCTTTTGGGGACTAGAGCACAGGTTGCCCAGCTCTGGGTGTTCCGGGCCCTCCCCTACCTCTCCCCCCATCAAGCTCGCATGTCTGTGGTGGAGCCTCAGCCCTTGAGTCTCCCCCTTCTTGCTGAGGAGGATCAGACCTCGGATCACTTCTAGCTCTGCCACCCACAAGCTTTCTCAGTTTTAGTCATGTACATTGTATGGCTATCCGTGTTCCTGTCTTGTTCTCCAGCTAGAGAGTGAGCACCATGAGGTGCTAAACTTTGTGTCTCTCCCAGTCTCCAGCACTGGGCTCTGCATACAGGAGGCATGTAAGCAGTGTTAGGAATGAATGAACAAAAGAAAGACCGCCAGTCTGGATCTGCCAGAGACTGGGCCAGGCCCTCCCAAGAAGGAGCAGCCGGTGGGGCCCATTCCCGGGTGCAGGGCCTTGTCTCAACCATAGGAGGAAACGGACGCACCTGGATGCAGATATCTGGGGAGCAGACCTCCGCCACTGGGATGTCAACGTGGCCGATGGCATCCGCATCTCCCTGGGGCAGAGAAAAGCAGTCACATGGGTCCAGCCAGCCCACCCAAGCACCTCCCCCCAGGTCCCAGGGAAGCCTCAGCCTCTCCTCCTCTTCTCCATCAATCCCCAAGCTGTCAGCTCCCAGCTGCCTCAGGGGCCTACGAGCTTTTCCCTGCTCAGCAGGTCCATGATTGTAACAGGATCCAGCTTGTGCCACAAACCCACCCACACACACAAGCACCACGGCACACCCCTGTCTACCCATGTGCAGCTCCACATGTGTGTGAGCACTCCTCCCCCTCAGGTTCAACTCCACAAGGAAACCTCTCTCCTCTGGGAAGCCTCCCCTAATTGCTTTAGTATAGGGACTCAAGAACGGCCTGGGGTTCGGCCCTGGGTGCCAGCAGAGGGATTGGCAAAGGGACCAGGAAAGGTCCCACAGTCGAGGGGCTGTCTAACCTCTCCAAACTCCAGCACATAAGTCCTCTGGCCTGTCCCTGGCATGACTGAGCCCCCGGGCCAGAGCAATGAGGGAAGGCTTCCTGTAGGCAGAGGACCTCGGAGGGCTCCAGGAGTTTAGAAGAAGTTAGGACACTGTGGGTATGTGAATGTTTGACTGTGTCAGTGTGTATCCAGGGCCCTGTCCTCGGGTCTGAGCCAGGGGTTGGCGTCCCTCCTTCCCAGCTCACCTGTGAGCCCACAGAGATCGTCTCAAGCACGTGACAGTGGAAAGGCTCAGTCCGGTTGCAGAGCTGCACCTGGAAGCGGGCTGGGATCCTCGAGATGAAGGAGGCCCGGAACTTGTCCGGTAACTGATGAATCTTCATCTTCCAGCCTGATCATGAGCCCAGGGTGGTCCCCACATGATGGTCACATGGCATGAGGCACAGGTGGGGGCTCCCTGCCCCCTTTGAGCCCGGCCTCCTCTGCCCACTCTTGGCCTGGAGCCCTGGACTCTTCCTTCCATGCCCAGCACTGCCCCCACCGTTACCCTGTCTCCATCCATGAGGCCTGAGATGCGCTAAAGTCCTTCAAGGAAAATCACTCCTTCCCTTTCAAAAATGGGAGCAGGCCTGGCTCTGCTGGCAGTGCCCTCCCTTTCCCTCTTTGCTGGCTAGATCCCTTCCTGTCCCTTAAATCCAATTCCAAAGCCACGCCCTCCAGGGTCACCCCTTTGGTGGCTGCCCCTGTGCCTCTCCCTGACATACTGCCAACACAAGGTTGCGCGATACAGTTACTGGCGTTTGTATGTCGTGGACCAACAAACATTTCTGATGTGTGCCTGCACAGGGTTAGGAGCTGTGGCCATAATAACAGAGACCAGCCACTCCCCTGCCCTCCAGAAGCTTCCACTCTACGGAGGGGATCCCATGTGCACACTAAATACAAATGAAAACAACGTCTGGGTGCGAGGAGGTACAGCAGATCACAAGACTGCGAGCTCTGTGAGTGCAAGGGGGGGGAGCCCCAGTGCAACTTTGTATCTCCTCCGTGTGCCTCCAGTAAAGAAGGCTCCGCATGCACTCTCACTTAACCAATGTTCATTGAGTGGACGAATGCCTGGTCCCTGAAGCTCAAAAATCGTACACTAATACGTTTACCTCCGTGGAAACAATCAGAGGCCACAAAGTGAGAAGGCAGGTTCTCACTGCAGCAAGAAGCCCTCCTTGAGCCAGCTCACCCATCCCTCCACCCCCTGGGAAGACGAAGGGGCCATTTGCTAGGCTGCGGACCCAACACTGGGCAATTACCTGGAAAGCTTCCGTCAGCAAAGGGACATCTCACCCAAGAGCCTTGCAGGGTTGTGAACTGGGGAGAGAGAGAGAGGGAAGGAGAGGTAGAGCAGGCCCCTTGAGGGAAGCCAAAGACTGTCCCACAAAGCCCTCACAGGACCTGCAAGCAGAATGGACACCTCCACTGACAAAGCGGGGCAGGCCTTCAGTGGTCTTCTGACACAGTCCCTTCATTGTACACAAGGGGAAAATGAGGTTCAAAGAGGGAGGGGGGCTGTCTAGGAGCAGGGGAGTGTGAGGAGTGGCCCCCGGACTTGGAGCCAGGAGCCTGGAATGAGCCACGCTGTTTGAGTACCTCCGGCTAAGGCGTGTCCTGGATTTTTAGAAGGCTGGTTTCAAAGGGGAGAAGCCTCAATGGAATTTCACTGCCTAAAATTCTGATGGGGAAGTGAGCTAAGGAGGGATGGGAAACTTTCAAAAATGAAACTAAAGCCCCTCAAAGCAAGAATTCCACCGAGGAGAGAGAAAGGAATTGTCTAAAGGAAGCCACGTAGAGGCAGCAGGAGCTCTCCTACCAATTTCCATTTTAGAACACTTGTTTGTACAGAAGATGAAAACGAGGCCGGCCAGTGATGGAGAAATGCAAGAGCATGGCATGATTCTGTAATCAATCAACAAGTATTATGCACCCTCTGTATGCCAGGTACTGGGGTTCCGAGGACAGAGCTCTCATCGCTGTAGGGGAGACAGCAACAACTTAGAGGTGGATACAAAATGCATACAAGGGAGTTTGGGGGAGGAGTCAAGTACAAAGTAGCAGTTGGGGGTGGGGTGGGCTGGCTCGGGAAAGACCAGGAAGAGAGTGGAAGCAAGGGGGAATGGGAGGTGGAAGACAGGAGGGATGGCAAAGGCAGGAAGGCAGGAGAAGCATGTGAGGCTGGATCCCAAAACGAAGGAGGGGACAGTAACATCCGACGAGGCTGGAGCAAGGCTGTGCTGTAAAAATGGGAAGAGAAGAGTTCGTGCTTTATCCTACAGGCAAGAGAGAGCTACTGAAGGTTGTTGAGGAGGGAATTCACATGGTCAGAGTGACAGAAGAAAAATCACTCTGGCAGTGGTGTGAAGGATGGACTTGCTTGGGGAGAAAACCAATGAGAAAGCTGCTGCAGTGATGTGGGCCAGAGGTGAAAGGGCCTGGACTGAGGTGGCCGGGTGGCTGTACCAACAGAGGCTCAGATGTGAGACATCACAGGGGCAAGATTAGGCCATGAGGTAAGAGGAAGAAGCAGAGGACAATGTGACAGGCACGAATCTGGGTGGCTGACAGGGAATAGCAGCAGCGTCAATAAACACAGGGAAATTGGGAGGAGGGAGGGTTTGGGTGAAAATAGAATGAGTTCCGTTTTGGACACACCGAGTCTGAGATGCCTACGGGGCATCCATGTCAAGATGCCTAGCAGGCAATGGTGATCTGAATCTGAAAGGTCAGGGTCGAGGCTGGGCCTGCTGGCTGCTGCGTGAACAAACCCCCCCCTCTCTCAGCTGCAGGCACTTTCTCTGGCGATCCCCCTCCTTATTTCTTTTCTCTTTGATCTCCTTCCTCATCTTGGGCTTCTGACTTCTCTGGGTTCCTTCAAGTCCCAACTGAAACTTTGCCTTCTCCAGGAAACCTTTCCCAATCCCTGTCAATTGTACTGCCTTCCTTCTCTTAGTTATTTCCTATTCATCCTGTAGATGGCATATTCACTTTGTTTCTTATCTCCCTCATTAGATTGGAAGCTCAATGAGGGCAGGGACTGTCTTTTTCCTCTTTTTATATCTCTTGTGCACTTAGCACAATGCCTGGTGTATCATGGGAGCGTGAGAACTGTTGATTGTTAACTGATTGATGGATTGAAGAGGAAACATCTGGAAGGGTAGCAGTGATCACAAGGGCCGGCCTGGTTTGATCAATTTCTTCTGGCAACAGTCACTAGACTAGAAGCCACTGGGATGCTGTAGAGAGAGTTCACCTGGACTTTGGCAAATCATTTGACATCTCTTATGATTTTATCGATATGATGGAAAGAGGGTAGAATGATAATGCGGTTGGCTGGATTCAGAATTGGCTGAACAATCAGACCCAAAGAGTAGCATTCAGTGTGATTCAAGATCTTTGGGGAAGGAGATGTCCAGTGGAGTGCCCCAGGGATTTGGGCTCTGCTCTGTGCTTTCTGATATTTCTGTGTCCTTATCAATTTAGCAAGCTATAATCTGGGACACTTCCTAGTTGTGTGACCCTGGGCAAGTCTCTTAATCCTGTTTGCCTCAGTTCTTCATCTGTAAAATGAGCTGGAGAAGGAAATGGCAAATCACTCCAGTATCTTTGCCGAGAAAACCCCAGATGGGGTCACAGAGAGTCGGACGTGACTAAAAAAATGACTAAACAGTAACATAAAGTAACCTATTGGGGTAAAAGCCTGGGAAGGCCCATCAGCTCCACACAGGGGTGTACAGAATGAGGTTCCCAGACTAAGGGTTGGGGGAGTGGAGCACTTTCAGAACCCACTCCTCACTCAAGCTTCTGCCTGAAATGTTCATAGCCCTTCTGGTGTGGTAACTTGCCCTGGTCGAGATGCCAAGGCCAGATCAAAACCTGGTCACCAGGATAAGGTGTTCAAGCCCCTACCTGGACAGGTTAGGCCACTGAAGGAGAGTGGGCCCTGGGCAGGCTGCCTCCAAAGGGCTGCCACGGTCCCCTCCTCCCACCGTCCCAACATTTTTGGCAGCGTTAGCAAGGCACACACGGCCTGTTACCTCTGTCCCATATGCCTGTGTCTGTAAAAAGAGATTCTTTAGAACCTGCATCTCTTCTCTGAATCCCTTCAGCCGTGAGCCCAACCCAGACTGGAACAAGAATCCTCCTGAGCCCTCCCCTGACAAACGGTCAGCCAGCCTCTGCTTAAAGACATGGTGGAGATGGAGGAAACTCCCCGCTGCTGAGGAGGCCCAGCCTGCTTCTGACTGTTGGGAAATGGCTGGCTTCCAGCTACGCTTCCTGGCTCTGGGCTCTGAGACCAAGCAGAAGAAATCAAATCCCTTCTCTACACAGCTGCCCTTGGAGAAAGCTCCAAGACATCAGTCTTCCCTTGCCCCTTGTTCAACATCCCTGGTTCCTTCAGCCAAACCAGATAACGTTCCAGAGAAGCAATGATCTCAAGACCCTTCACCTTACTAGGGGCTGGACAAAGCTGGACAAAGGTCTGGCTTTTGAAATGCGTTTTGGACCTGACCTCTGTTGTCCAATGCGTCGGCCCCTTCTCCCAGATCATTTGCTGTTGTTTTGTCATTCCGGTCATGTCCTACTCTTCACAGCCCCATCTGAGGTTTCCTCGGCAAATGTACTTGAGTGGTTTGCCATGTCCTTCTCCACTGTCTGTTTTTCTCAGACAGAAATGCGTGATCTAGGTCCCCTCACAGAGAAGCCCAAAGACTTTCCTCCCTCCAATCAAAGATGTGATATTCAGCTATTCACTAAAATCTGTTCAGGAGGCAGTGTGGTGCAGTGAATTGAGCCCTGATCTTGGACTCAGAAGCCCTGAGATTAAATTCTGCTTCTTCCACTGACTGGCTTTGGGATCCTGGATAAGCCGTGGGGAATTCATCATCGTCACCATCACATCGTATTTGTCAGAAACAAGAGGCTGAAGCACCAGCCTTGGAGCCCTGGGTCACCTTGGACATGTGCCTATGGCCATGAACTTGAGCAGAGCTTCTAACTTCCCCAGTGCTGTCCTAAGCCAGATGTAGACTGTCTGTCTCACAGCCTTTCTCCTTTGTCCTTTGCCCCTCCTAATTGAGGAAGGGGTTTGCTGAAGAACTGGAAGGTTCAAGTCACACCAGCAAGTCCATGCTTTTACCCCTGCTCCCCGCCCAGTTCACATGTGGGCTGTCCCAGGGGGGTGGCCACTGACTCACCTTCATACAAAGCCAGGGCTGTGGGTCCACCTGCAAGTAATGCACCTGCAAGAAAAAGGAGACATTTGATGACTATCAGGGAACTGGCATTGTTTGCTTGAATTTTTTTCAGTTAACAAGCATTTATTTTCTCCCCCTCCTACCCCCTCCCCCACCCTCTCATTGAAAAAGAAAAAAGAAAAACAAAATCTTGGGAACAGACATGCAAAGTCAAGCAAAAAAAATTCCCCCCATTGGCCTTGTCCAAAAATGTGACTCATTCTGCATCTTGAGTCCATTGCCTCTCGCTCAGGAACAGAGGAGTGCTGTGGGGCAGGAAACTGGGGGTCCTGGGGAGGTGTGAGTTAAGCCCCAACACGGCAAAATGTCTGGGACAAGAGCAAGTAAGGTCAATGAGGTCCAGAGCTGGGGCCAATCTTCCTGGGACCCTGTCCCAGGCAAACGGGGAGGAGGAGCTCCTGAGACCCCAGAGAGCCCCCCTGCTGGCTGGAAGTTTTATTTGTTGATATCTCTGGCCTGCTTGGAAATCTTCTTAAGAGTTACTTCTGTCTGAGAGCATTGGAACAAGATTTTAGTGAAAGGACTGTATGTTTGAGCCCTGGGGCTCTGGTCAGATCAGGAAAGGCCACCCCCCACCCACCCACCCAGATGGCATGCTTCCTCACTGGCCCTTTGGAGTTGTGGTAGGTCAGGCCATTGGCCAGAAGAATTGACCTTTTCCATCCTTCTTATCTGTCTACTTGTTTATCTACTTATCTGTCTGTCTATCTATCTACAGATCTATCTATCTACTAGTCTATCTACATTATCTAGCTGTCTATCTACTTATCTGTCTATCTATCTTTCTCTCTTGCCTTCTCCAGCCCACCCCTACCCCTCCACCCCCACCCAGACCTTACACAGGACCAGGCCCTTGATTTCCACCAGAGGTGAGAGAATCGCATGCCAATGAACTTTGGAGCTCAGGTTATATGCATATATAAACACTGCATATCTATATCTCATACATCCCTACATGTCTTCTCCATGGGTTGATGACCAGCCTCCTGAAGGCAGGGACTATTTCTTTTTGCCTTAGCATCCTCAATGCCCAGCCTAGCATCTGGCACATAGGAAGAAATTAAGACATTCTCTTTGTTTGATCAGTCGTCATCATGTGGACTCTCCCAAGACAGTGCTCAATCCCAGATCAGCTGCATTCTGACTCCCAAGTGAGCGGCTGGGAGCAGCAGAGGCCAGGCAGCAGTCTCTAGACCTTGTACAGTCTGAAAGCCCTGGGGCCATGAGGCCCCTGCACTCACGTTGCCTGGGACTGTCCGTTCTGTGTGGCTCAGCTCCCAGCACAGATCATCCGTCTTTGACATCCCACAGAGGTGGACCTGGCCCTGGACAGGGCAGGGGGGCTCCCAACTCAGGGATTGGGTGAAGGGGTTGTAGAAGATGTAATCCCACAGGATTCTGGTGTCTATACACACAGAGACATACACATAGAGGGGTCAGAAACAGAACAGCTCCTCCCTTGTCCCTCCCCTCCCCTTCCAAGCCCTGCTAAGGATCCCCCTCCCCTGGGCAGCCTTTAGTACCAAAGCCAACCCAGCATCCAGCCAGTCCCATCCCACTGGGCAGACAGAGGGTGGTACTAATGAAGCCACAGTCTCAGGGTCCCCTCTCCAGGTGGCCTGGGCCACCCAGCCCGGTTCCACGACCACAGAGAAATCCATCTTGGTGCTACATGGAGACTGGCCCCCTGGTTCATCCTGAGCCCAGGGACCCAGGAAGCCCAGGGCTGGGGGAAGCCTCTCTCAGGAGGAGGGAGAGGGAAAGGAACAGCAGGAGGAGAGAATGGGCCACTCTTCTGAGGGCTGCTGCTTACTTGCCATTTTCAAAGGGACAAATCTGGATTCTCACTGCATCAGGGACAGCAGCCCAGCCCTGCCAGAGAAAGCATTGTCAGCTCAGTTTCAGTGCACCTTCCACCATGTTCCCTGCAAGTACAGATTGATGGAACGAGAGGGGTGCCCAGGAAGGCAGGAGAGAGGGGAACCTGTATTTGGAATGGGAAGACCTGAGTGCAAGTTTTAACTGGGTGACTATGGGCAAGTTACTGTCCTCTCCGGGTCTCAGTTTCTTCATCTGCAAAATGGTGCTAACACTTGCATGCCATACTTTATGAGGATCAAAGGGGATGCTGCACTTTGGAATATGGAAAGTGATGCTACCAGACTCAGTGAACCCTGAGCAACCAAAAATCATCGATGCACTTTGTTTATAGTCTCAGTCTTTATATCTGAATCATGCACCCATTTTGACTTTACCATGGTATTATTAGCTGTAAGATGCTGGTCTCTGCCTAGTTTCTGCCATACTCTTTTCCAGTTTTCCCAGCAGTTTTTGTTAAACAGTAAGTTCTTATCCCAGAAGCTGGGGTCTTTGGATTTATCAAATAGCAGATACTCCAGTCTTTTACCGTTGTGTCTTGCATACCTACCCTATTCCACTGATCGACTGCTCTCTTTCTTAGCCAGTACCAAGCAGCTTTGATGATTGCTGCTTTATGACACAATCTAAGTTCTGGAACGACTAGACCACCTTCTGCATTTCTTTTTGTTAGTTCCCTTGATATTCTAGATCTTTTGTTCTTCCGGATTAATTTTGTTATTGTCTTTTCTAGCTCTATGAAATAATTTTTGGTAGTTTGATTGGTATGGTGCTGAATAAGTAAATTAATTTAGACTGAATTGTCATTTTTGTTGTATTAGCTCAGCCTACCCATGAGCAGCTGGCATTTTTCCAGTTATTTAGATTGGACTTTATTTGTGTGACAAGTGTTTTGTAATTGTGTTCATATAGTTCCTGGGTTTGTTTTAGCAGGTAGACTCCCAAATATTTTATAGTGTCTACAGTAAGTTTAAATAGAATTTCTCTTTCTATCTCTTGGTGCTGGGCTTTGTTAGTGACATGTAGAAACGCCAATGATTTGTGTGAGTTTCCTTGAGGCACTTTGAGACACACAGGCCTGAGCCCTTCTGAGCTTCTCCAGGACAGAACCAGAGGGAATCTGCCTAAATGCCTCCTGCTGGGGTGATTCAGCTGAGGTGCCAGGGAGGATTTCCATGCCCCTGAGGATGGTGAAACCTTGGGGCAGGCTATCTGATGAGGTGGCAGATTTCCCACCTGAGGGACAGTGGTCAACTATCTAGTACAGCCCTGGAGGGCATCCTGATGGGGGCAAGGTTGTATGTCATTCCAAGTGGCTTCAAACCATCGATCCTCTGGGAGGCTCTTAGGGCCTGAGACTGTGGTGAACTCAGCTCAAGGATGCCTGAGGCCCCGGGGAGGAATCATGTGAAAGGGGAGGATGTGTTCAGGGTGGGTCAAACATTTATAGAATGTTAGATCTGGTAAAGGCTGTTAGGGTCATTTAATCCGATCCTTTCATTTCATAAGTGAAGAAATTGCCCAGGGTTGCCCAGGGAGCCAATTCTGGAGTCCAGGCTGGGGGGGAGGGTGAGGCAGCAGGTTCTCAGGTGTGGGGAGGGTGCACTGACCTCGATACACAGACACGGTAGGAGCTGCGAATACTTCAGGGCCACTGCCTTCCCAGGCTGCTCCACATTCACCTGTTCCAAGGGGTCAGCTGAAATCCACTCATTCCAAAACACTGTGCTCAGTGCCTGAAATGGAGGTGCTGAGAGGCTTTTGTGTGTGCGCCCAGCCCCTGTCCTCCTTGGGCGCACCAAGCTCCACCTTATGTGCTGAGCGGACTGCACGTGTGGCAACCATCTCCCATATGTCTATGTGCTGAGCACCTCCCAAGAGTCTTCTGGGACCTCCTTTCTTGTGTGCTCTGGGCCAGCTAAGGTGAGCTAAGGTCCCTTCTGCCCTAGGTCCCCAATGCCTGGGCTAAGAGCTCTCCTCTGCACTGGGGTCCCTGCTGCCTAAGCTGAGAACCTCCCTCCTCTGCCCTAAGGCCCCCACGGCCTGAGATGAGAGCTCCCCTCTGCCTTGCAGCCGCAAATGTGGTCTGGACTCACCAGTACTGGGGGGCTGTAGTCTTCACAAGCAAACCACTTGAGACATAGCCGGATGTAGTAGGCCTGACTCCTAGGGATGTCTGCAAAGTGCACCTTGATGGTCTTCTGGGCATGGTCAACAGTGTATTTGAGTCTCCCAGCTGGCGGGGACAGAGGGGAAGGATGGAGAGCCACTCCTTCCAAAGAGGGGGGTGTCCTTACTATGCTCCTGGCGGGCCACAGAGTAAGCCTTATCCCAGGACCCTGAAAGGGATCCATCCTGGCCCAGTTCACAGCTGAACCCTCACGAGGGCACAAGGCTGGGAGAAGGATCCTGGCTTCTTTCATCATCTCCTAGTCCTGGTCCTGGTGGGATGTAGACAAGACGCTTCCCCTCTGTGAACCTCAGTTTACCCTTGTCTCACTCCCCTCCACCTCTTCCAAAAGCCCTTCCAGGAAGACAGTGGGCAGGAAGGGGCCTTGGAAATGGGCTGTGAGGGGGAGCCATGAAGCTGCCACACGCTCTCCTGTGCCAGCGGGGAGGGAGCCATGTTTTCAATCACCCAATGGCAGGGAGCAAAGTTTGTCCTTTCCCAAACAAGGGGTGGGAGTCATTTCTAAATCCTAGGGCTTAGAACTGGAGAGATCATCCAATTGAATGCTCTCATTGTACAGGGGAGGAAGCTGAGGCCAGGATGGCAGTGATTTGCCCAAGGTTACACAAGAAGTCAGTGAGAGAGGCATGATTTGAATTCAGACCCTCTGACAAGAGACCTGGTGATATTTCTACCACGGCCCTGGAAGCCAGAGATGTAGAAGCCCCCAAGAGCCGCTAGATGGGGAGAGGGGACCCTGCAGGGTGTACCCAGAGTCTATGCTACTGAAAGATTGCAATACCGCGCACAGGTGGGTAAAGGGAATACAGAGTTGGGACCATAGCTAGTCATATCACTCACCAAAGCAGGCTGGGATGTTTCTTCCCACATCAGCATCTGTACAGTCTGCAAAATACATGTGGGGGTTCTCAGCCTGACCAAGGGCCTCAGCACCATCCACTTCATCAGAGGTGGGGGCACGTCAGCACCAACAGGCAGAAGCCCATCAGACCCATATGCTGGCACGTCTGTCCTGCTTATGGCCTGACCTCTAACTTCTGACCCTGGACCCAGATTGACCCCTGGCCTCAGCCACCCCCACGTCTCTGGAGGCAGCGCTTTCCTCTCTGGGATAGCTCCAATCAGTAGGAAGCGTCCCTTGTACAGAGGTGAAACCTGCCTCAGCGTATGTTGTCTCCATCCACTGCTGCCGCCTGCGAGGGCCAAGCAGAGCCAGTCCCCACAGGCTCGAAGACAACTCCTCTGCGGGCTTCTCTTCCCCAGGCTAAGCAGCCCTGCGCCTTTCACAGCAAACTCACGTAGCATGATCTCTGTGCTCCCCAGCCTATCACAGTCCTTCTCAAGGAAGGACATCAGCGCCCCACACAAAGCGATTCCTGATTGTCCGGAAGCTGGTGAGGAGGCTGTGTGTGTGTGTGTGTGTGTGTGTGTGTGTGTGAGATGGGGGCAATCCATGAAGATTTCGTCTGGAGCCCAACACTCCCCCCTTTTCCCCTCCTGATAACTACCTTGCTCTGATTTCTGTGCTGGCTAAGGAAAGTGGATAACCTTCTCTGTAAGGTAAGGGCTCTTGACCCTTCTTGTACCCTGGCCCATATGAGCAGTCCGATGAAGCCTACACACCCCTTCTCAGAATTGTGGGGTTTAGTGCATGAGATTACCACAGAAACCAGTTACATTAAAATACAGTTCTCAATTTTTTTTAATAAAAGGCCCCAGATTAAGAACTCCTCCCCTAAAGCCAATGGCAGCCTGTGGAAGGGTCTTGGAGAGAGAGAAAGATGTCAAGTGAATGTCTGTTTAATCAAAACATTCTTTCCTACTGATTCTCATGATTCAATTGGATTGGATCGGGTCCTATGACAGAATCAACACCACTCTTGAACAAAGGGCCAACTTTCAAAATCTCATTACAAATTATTCCCCTTCACAAACTAGTCCAGTCAACTCACCCTTCTTACTGTGCCTAATATAAGATATTCCACCTCCATGTCTTTGCTATGGCTGTGCCTCATGCCTGGCATGCTGCCCATCCTCATCTCTGCCTCTAAGAAGTCCTCATTTCCTTTAGGGCTCAGCCCAAGGGCAGCCTTCCACATATGTTCCTGCTTTTCCCAACCGCTACTTTCCCAATACTTTGTATCCATTTTGTATTTCCTTTGATTTGTACACACATTCTTTCCCGAGAGAATGCAAGCTCATTGACGGCAGGGACTGCTTCCCTTTTGTTTTTATATTCTGAGTGCCTAGCACACAGTAGGCACTTAATAAATGCTCGTCGATTGATGGACTAAAACAAGACTTTTAAAGGACACCATCAGGGGCAGCTAGGTGGCACAGTGGATAGAGCACCGGCCCTGAAGTCAGGAGGACCTGAGTTCAAATACAGCCCCAGACCAAACACTTGACACTTACTAGCTGTGTGACCCTGGGCAAGTCACTTAACCCCAATTGCCTTAAAAATAAATAATTTTTTTAAAAAAAGAAAAGGGCACCATCATGCCATTTCAGCAAAGCGCTGGCTTCCAGTGGGGTCTCTCTCCTGTGAAGAGCACCTGGCAGAGCCTTACCTTCCACGCGGTACTCACGGCTGATCTGGACCTCACAGTAATAGGGGATGGTCTTCAGGGTGACGTAGAGGTGCTGAGCGACGCTCACCTCGAAGCAGTCAAAGTGGACCTGGAGCTGGGGCCAGATGTCAACAACATCACCAGGGACCTCCCTACAGGGACAGCACTAGCTTCCTACTCAGTACATGTGGGAAGGGGAGAGAGGGCAGCCTGGGGGGCTGGCCACTGCCTCACTCTGGAATCCCCCCGCTTTTAACACTGGGCTAAGCTTGGCTGGTGATGAGTCAAAGGAGAGGAAGAGGGCCCCGTCCTCAGGGAGCCCCCAGTCTAGCGGACACTCATCGATTGCCCAACGTCCAACACCAAGCTCAGCTCAAGCGCTGCCACCTATCGCAAGCCTCTTCTGCTGCCCTCAGGTTCTAGCTTCCTCCCCTGTGACCACTCCTTTGGAGCCAGGATCACGGATTGAGAGCTGGAAGGAACATGAGGCTGCCACACGTTCCTATAATTGGCGTTTCCTTTTCTCTGGATGTGTTACTTCTCCCCAGTGGCAGGGAAATCTCTGAGGGCTAGGGTTAGGGTTGTTGTTGTTGTTGTTGTTTTTTAATCTTTGTATCAGCTGGCACAGTGCCTGGTACACAGTAGGGACTTAATGCATGCTTCTTGATGTGACTTGGTTCTTGGTTTCTGTTCCCTGAAGAGACTGGGTGGAGAATGGGCCATGAGAAGACCAAGGGAGACCCAGAGCCGGGGATCTCAGGCAACAGTATGACAACTGCCTTAGCGTACGGGTGAGAAAGAAAGGGGAGAAGGCTTTCTGGGTGTGGGGAATTTCTAGGCACGACGGTGGAATAGGCCACCGTGGATGGGAGGCAGTGAGAGGCCCAAGGGCCCTGGGGAGCTCCTGCCCCTGACTTTGCCCATCTCTCTCCCTTTGTTCTCCCCCTCCTCAGACAGGCCCCATGCTCCAGCTCACCATTCTGCCCACCATCTTCCGGCTGGAGATTTTGGGAATCCTGGTGCTGTGACACCTTGTCTCCTGTGTGTCCAGGGACAGCAGGCAGATCTCCAGACCTCGAAGGCTTTCTAGGACCAAGAGGAAGTGAGCAGGGTGTCATGTGTGGTTCCTGGTGTCCATGGCAGGGAGCAAGGAGTCAGAGCCCCCCCTCCCTGCCACCATGGCCTCCAGGCTCCCTTGAACCCCAACCATGGGTCAAGAGAAGATGATTCTCAGGCCATGGATGTGATTGACCGGAAGACTGCATTGGAGGGGAAACATGGAGAAGGTCCAGGGTGCTGAGGAGAAGGGAAAGAAGAAGGTACAAGGAGGGAGCTTTCACCTGGAGCTCAGAGGAGCCCTGATAGCACAAGTTGAAAAGCCCAAGCCAAGAACCAGGAGGGCATTGTACACAGTGACAGCAACATCGTGCAATGATCAACTAGGATAGACTTGGCTCTTCTCAGCAATGCAATGATCCAAGACAATCCCAAAAGACTCATGATGGAAAATGCTATCCACGTCCAGAGAAAGAACTGTGGAGTCTGAAGGCAGATCGAAGTGTGCTATTTTCACCTTTTTTTGGTTTTTTTTTGTGTTTTTTCCCTTTTGTTCTGTTTCTTCTTTCACAACATGACTAATGTGGAAATACGTTTCCATGATTGCACATGTATAAACTATATCACATTGCTTGGTGTCTTAGGGAGGAGAGAGGGAAGGGAGGGAGGGAGAAAAATTTGGAGCTCAAAATTTTATAAAAATGAATATTGAAAACTATATTTACATGTATTTGGAAAAAATAAAATACTATTTACAAAAAATAATTAAAACAAGAAAAGAAAAAAAAAACCAAAGCCCAGATGGAAAGCAAGCTCAAAGTCTCCATCTAGGGATTCATTGGCCTCTGAATCCATCTTGGCCAGAAGATCATAAATCACACAATGGGCAGAAGTGGATTTTGGCTTACTAGCTGTGTGACCCTGGGCAAGTCACTTAACCCCAATTGCCTAAAAAAAAAAAAAGTAAATTTTGGGCCAGCCCAATCAAATTGTTCCTGAGCCCAAGACTTCGTTGTACCACTGAGGCAGGGGGATGCTGAAGGGCCTGACTAACTCTGCTGGTTCTTACCTTCCATGATAAGGCTAGCACTGACGCTCAGATGCAGAGCGCAAGCCCCTCTGTGGACACACTTCGTGGTTGTGGACAGTGTCAGGGACTCCAGGATGGATGGCGTCACAGATGGGAGTGGCTGCCGGCAGAAACTGTTAAAAATATTCCCTGTGGAAGAGAAGGAGCAGTTAATCCCTTTACTGCGCCTGTCCCTGGAGGCTTCCAGGGAGGACTCAATGCTCACAGCTGGTGAAGGTAAAGGGATGGTGAAGACTTCACCCGCTACCTGGAAAAGCAGCCACAGATCTCTATCATCAAAACGATTGGGTCAAAAAGAGAAAAGCCAATCAGTGGAACTGGTCACATAGACGGGACCAGTCACAGATACCTGGGACTCAAGGTGACAGAGGGCTTTGTCCACCCTTGATGACAGTCCAGGGGCAGCAAGCATAACTAGGCGAGGCTGGGTACAGACCCTTCTGGACAGGTCTGAAGGTCGAGAAAGTGGGTGGCACCCAGCCCAAGGGGCCTGAGTGTGAAAGGCCATGACTGAGCCGCCTAAAACTCAGGAGACCTGGATTTAAGTCCCAGTTATGCTCCTAAGTCTTCTTTCTGTGCTGGGCCTCAGTTTCCCTCTCTGTAAAACAAAGAGGTTGAATGAGATGATCTCTAAGGTCCTTGCTCATGCTGACATTCTATTACTCTGCTTCTACTTGCCTCATTTCAATGAGTTGTTTTTTAATGCGTTGTTTTCTTCTATTTGAGTTTTTGTGCCTCCTTTTCCATTTGGCCCATTTTTCTTTTTAAGGATTGTTTTCGGCAGTTAATTTTTGTCCTTCATTCTCTTACTCTGGAACAGTCACCCCGATTGGCTGGTTGTGGTTTTTTGTTAGGCTTTGCAGTTTAGCCCACCTCTCTCACTGTTCTAACAAAAGCTCCTTTCCTCCTGTGCTCAGTGAGGATGCATGGCAGCTGGTGGTGACATGGAGAATTCTCCCGTCAAGGACACTGCTACAAAATAGTCTAAGAAGGCCCTCTGAGGAACAAAGATGACAAAGACTCCCCTCACCGTCCTCACAGGAGACCCCCTCAGGCCCTTGTTCAGGGCCTCTTGGCTCAGTTTACAGACAGGTCTCATGAGTATGGTTGGTGTTACATAACTTTGGAGAAATCTGCACGTGGCAGAGAATCTTTCTTTTCACTGAGTGAGGGGCCCAATGGAATCATCTCACTTCCAGCTGGGGAGGACCGTAATAACTGTAAATCAGCTGCCAATTCTCCTCAGGTGTATTTCTGATCTACCTTGTGGCCTTGACCTACTTTCTATTCTGATGGCCACCGCCTCTTCTCACTTGGTCTATGGCAGGAGCTCCTCTCTGGTCTGCGGCAATGACCGAAGGCTTCACTGGGCCAAGAGGGTAGGGTAGGCTAAGGTCAAAGAACAGGAGGTGGAGGGTTCCTCAGGGGTACCTACAATGGCAGTGCCCCATCCCTTGCCAGTGATCCACTCAGGAGGGCCAATGACAGCCCAGGTGGGGCAGCCAGAACTGAGCCTGGGGAGGGATGAGATGAGGGTGGAAGGTAGGTCACTGGACACAAGGTACTGTTTTGGACAGGAAGTGCTTTCCTCCTTAAAGTTACTCTCCATCTGCTCAGTGTATAACTTTAAGAGCCCTCTCTATTTACATGTAGCTTCTTGATTTAGAATGTAAGCTCCTTGAGGGCGAGAACCTTTTTCCACTTTTCTTTCTATCCCCAGCACTGAGCACATTGCCTGGCACACATTAAGCATTCAATAAAGACTTGCTGACTGATTCGCTCTGAGGAGTCCTCTTCTGTCTCCTTCCAAGGATGTAGAGACCCCAGCTCGGTGCTCAGGACAATTCTCAGCCCAAGCCTTGGCCCACTACCCAGCCAACCCCTCAGCCCACCCCTCAGCCCTCTTCCCCTTCTACATCCATGACCATATTCAGCATTTCCAAATCAACACCATCAGCGTCACCCCACACTCTTGGCCCATGTCTCCAGCTCTACCTGGATGTCTGGCTAGCACCTCAAATTCCACGTGTCTAGAACAAAGCTTATTCTCCTTTTCCCCCACCCCCAACCTGCTGCTCTTTCTAGCTTCATTGTTCATACAGGGCAACAATCCACTCAGTCTCTTACATTCACAGAATCTCAAAAGTCATGGTTTGGTTGGAAAAGTGCAGGCTTTGGACCCAGGTTCAAATTCTGGCTCTGCCAAATGCTACTTGTGTAACCTTGGGCAAATCACTTCGTTTCCCCAGGCCTCAGTTTCCTCCACTCTAAAATGAGGGGAGCGAGGCCTCTAAGGTCCCTTCCTGTCCGCATCTTCCCCTCTTGTATAATTCTAATTGCTGGGGCATTTTTGTAACAATTGAGCTAACAGTCAAATCCCTTTTCCTTTTCTGAGTACTCAAAGAAAGCCGTCATGTCCCTCGGAGTCTTCTCTTCCCCAGAGTGAACACTCCCTGTATTTTTAGTCAGCTCTCGAAAGAGATCGTTCCCCTCTTAGGGCCAGGCTCCAGTTTTCAAGCCTTCCCCATGGGGCCCAGACCTGATAATGTCTGACCAGGCCCTTCCTTCAAAAAGTGTTGTATATGAGCACCAAGATCATATGACTTTGCAGCACCATTTTGTTTGGCTTCCTCATTATTAGCTTGGGACCCATTAGAGCCTCCAGACAGACCCCTTACCCATAAACTGTTGAGTGACCATTGTGTTGGGTGGCTATCTTGGACTCATGCGATGAATTTTTTTTAAAACTCAAATGCAGTACTTTCCATTTGTCTCTTTCAATTTCATCTTGGGCCATTTGTTCCATTGGTACAATAATAAAGAAGAATTACCATTTACATTGTGCTTTCCATGTGCCAAGCACTGTGCTAGGCACTTCCCAATTATCCTCTCATTTCATCCTCACAACAACCCTGAGAGGCGAGATTTGAACTGTCCTCTAAGTCCTACACTCTAACCGCTGTGCCATGTAGGCAAGGGAGATGTGTTAGATCCTATTACCCAAAGGGTTTGTTTTGTGTCTTCACTCTTCCAACACGCATTTATTAAGTGCCTAGTATGTGCTGTGGACACAAAGAAAAAATGAAATTTCTTTCCCACAAATTTGATAGGTATGTCATCCTTACCTTTCTCTGATTAGTGATTCCCAATGTTTTCAAGTTTGAAGACCTGAAAAGGCTTTGAGGATCCCACATGATAGTGGGGTTAGGGTGAAATTTCCTACTATTAGGATGGCACTATTAGAATCCGGTGGATAAGAAAGCACTGGGTATGGACCCTTTGCCGTAGTTCTGTGGCACTACCCTGCCCTTCCCAGAGGTCCAAGGCCCAAGCTGGGACCCTCTCCTCTAGGTCACTGATGGAAAGAAATGTCAATCAGTACAAGTGCCGTTCATGAGAGCATTACCTCCATGCCAAGGCTGAACCATTAGTGACCACTCTTTGGGTCAGACCATCAGACAAGTCTTACCCTCCCTAACTCTACTGTGACCCAGGTCACACCTCTCCATCTTTTCACCAAGAGAGCAAATGTTTCTTTGTCCCAAGCTTTGCTGCAATGTAGCCACACTATGTCAACAGAATTCCCCGAACTCTGAGTAGCATAACCTTAGTGAAAAAAAAAAAAAAGGAAATGGGGCAAGGCTAGGCTGCTGTAACCTGTTCTCAGGGAAGCTGGCCGAGCTTCTAGTAACCATCAGTTCCCTTTTTGAATATCCACAATCCATCTCTTTAGGGAAACAGTGTAGATGTTTGCCAGAACTTAACTCACACTCACTGGGTTTTAGTTCCGTCTTGGGGGAAATTGGAACATTGGTTTGCAGCAAGGGACACTCCATTTTTTGACTTCAGGCATTTTTCACTGCCTATCCCCATGCCTGGAAGGCTCTCCCTCCTCATCACCCTCTCTGGCTTCCCTAACTTCTTCCAGATCCCAGCTAAAATCCCACCTTCTCCAAGAAGCTTTTCCTAAACCACTCCAATTCTAGCACCTTCCCTCTGTTGACAGTCTCTCATTTACACCATCTGTAGTTTGTGTGTAAGTGGTTATTTGCATGATACTACCCCATGAGACCGGGAGCTCCTGGGGAGGGAGGGCTGCCTTTGCCTTTCTTTTTCTCCCCGGTGCTTAGCCTGGTACACAGTAGGTGCTTAATAAATGCTTACTGACTGGTATCTGTCTCATCTTCCATGAAGCTTGGATTATCTTTGAGTCTTTCCTCTCCCTCAATTCTCCCATTCCTTCGTTACTAAGGCACCCACCTTGGCACTATAGACTCACACCTGTCCCCTCCTCTCTGCTGACTTTTCTTGAGTCACCGAAAGTGATGAAAACACCATTTATTTCTCTTGACATTGCCCTGAGGAACACTGTCTAGCCTTCTAGTGTCCCTCACGTGATACCCCATTTCCTGTCCCCAAAACTTTGGCTAGGCTCTCCTCATGCCTAGAACACAGTCCTTGCTCAGCTTCATTTCTTTGAATATCGGGTGTCCTTCAAAGCTCAGCTCTATGTGAAGTGCCCTCCTATGTGAAATGTTTCCTGTTCCACCCCTCAGCTGCCAGGGGCTCCCACCTGATTCTTTGCGACTCAGGAAGCTGCATCTTCCTAAGAGGGTCCAGTGCTGGTGCTGTTCCTCAGCACCAAAGGCTCCATGGTTCTCCTCCTGCCCTCTCCCTTTGGTCACCCCCTCCCCTGGGGCCTGTACGTGTGTCTCCCTTCCAAAAGCCCTCAGACCTTTTCCTTCTGGATGTGAGCAGGACCCAGACATCCAAGTCTCTTTAAGTCTAGGCCTCAGGCAAAATGAGGAAGAAGGACAAGGCTGGCCGAGACAGGACAGATGGATATGAGGAACAGAGTCCATGACCTGCCAGAATTATTGCCTTGTTAAAGAGTTCCTCTGGGGAAGGAACATTACGCTCCCATAGTGCTTAGGGACCAAGAGAGAACGCCACTCCTTCCAACCACTTGGGCCCCATGTACCTTGTGTCTTAAAGGAGAAAGCCAAAGCAGAGGACCACTGAGATGCCCTCAATTCCAGCATTCTACGAATGGCATTGCTCCCCCCATCTCTGCTTGCTGAAGCCCTGCCCGTCCTTCAAAGTCCAGGATAGATAGTGCCTCTGACCCTTACAGGAGCAGGCCCTCAGCACCAGGCCACTGCAGGCTATGGTCCTGCAGCCAGAGCTAGAAAGGAAGGGCTTGCAGGCGGCAGACTGCCCAGGTTCCCAAGGTGGCAAGTGAAGGCTGGGCCGGGGAGTTGGGTGGAGCCTACCCCATCTGGATACTCACAGTTCACTTTGTTCTTGCAAGACACACCCTGAGGAAAAACAGAATGGAGAGGCAGCATTAAGGTGGGGTGGTAGACCATTGCCTTTGTTGGGGGGAGGGGAGACATAGCACATCGAGTCTTGCTTGGAGCCTTGAGGAAAATAAACCACTTGGCCTGGAACCCTTGGCTTAGAGTGGGTTATGGGCTGGGCTGGGCCTGGAAATTTTTCCCAAAGAGTTCCCCTCCCCGAAAATGTCTGTCAAGGTATAGCCTGTTACAAACTTCCTAGGCCTTTGGGATCAGGGCAAGGCTGTTTGTACCATGGAAAGATCGTTGAGAGGATTTCTTATTTAAAAAATTTTTAGTTATGGATTAGGTTAGAAATCTTAGGGACTACCGAGTCTGGGGCTGCAGCTTGTGACCTTCCCTTGGTGTATTACTTCTGAATATGAAGATTCTCTTTCCCCTTATTAAGAAAATAATAATAATACTAGGAAGGCACTCGTGTAATCTGGAGCACTATTTCCACAGTATCTGGTGGAATCACAGGCTCTCTAGAGATTGAAGAAATTACCTGGAGCTACAACTGGCCAGGAGTAGCTGGGGCTTTGCCTCAGGATGGAAAATTTAGAGGGTTCCAAATTTTAACACACATATTCCAGGATCTGAGTAAAAGGTAGGAAAGGAGCTCAGAAACTGATTTGTCTGTGGAATGGGGACAGGAAGTTCAGGTTCTGGAGCAGTTCTAGACTGTTTGTTACCTCCCTCCCTTTATCCCAAAGGGAATTCCCAACCCGCCCTGCCCCATCCCTCCCCAGGGATTCCCCTTTCTTTCCTCCTTTCACTGAGAGCCAGCCTCTCTGTGTGGGGACCTCCACCTCTCTCAAAGGTGAGCAGTAACTTTAGTGTTACACTCTTTCCTGAATACTGAGTGAAAAGGGGAGTCTCACTGAGGCAAGAGCATGGAGTCCTAAATCCTGCAGTGTTGGACGTGAGATTCTATCCCCTAAGCTCCGAGACTCTCTCCCTCTCCCTCTCCTTCTTCTTCTTCCTAACTCTGTGTCCCTCTCTCTGTCAGTCTCTTACTATGTCTCTGTCTCTCCTCTCTCTCTCACTCTCTCTCAATGAATTCTCATTTATATCTTTGATTTTTACATTCTCTATATTTTCTATTTCATCCCTTCCTTTACTCCTTCTCAGAGAGCTATGCCTTATAATAAAGAAGGAAAAAAAGGTTCTGCCAAACGAAGCAGTATATTGAAGTATCTGGTGTTTTGTATATATATACATATATACATATATGTATATGTGTATGTGTGTGTGTGTGTGTATAGTGATATGTACACATGCACACACATCCCTACACACACATTCATGGTCTCCCATCTTTGCAAAGAAATGGGGAATGATCTCCAATTGATCCTTTCTGGGTACATAGTTGTCTGCATGTTGAATCCCCCCATTAGAGTGGAAGCTTCTGGAGGGCAGGGGCTGTTTGGGGCTTTTCTTGGTATATCCAGTGGCTAGCACAATGCCTAGTATACAGCAGGTGCTTAATAAAAGGTTGTTGACTTCAGAGGCATCTTCTCACTTCTCTTCTTGAGCCAACCTTGGTCATTCCAATTTTGCAGAATTTAATTTGAATCATTTTCTACATCTTCCTTTTATTGACATTGTTGCAGTTGTGGTGCACGTTGTTTCCCCGGTCCTGCTTGCTTCACTTAGCATGTATTCATGTAAGTCCTTCCCTGCTTCTCTGTATTCTTCATCATTCCCAACAGCAGAGTAGAATTCCAGGACATTCAGCCACCCCCACTTGTAGCATTTCTCCAAAGACAAGGCACAGTCCTTTGTTCCAGCAAAAAGTGCTGCCGTGAATATTTTGGTATCTATGAAGACCTTTTTTTCAGGTCACAGATCTCCTTGGGGTATATGTCCAAGGGGTTTGTTTCCATTTCTTTCTGTATTATTTGCACATTCGGAGTCACAAAGTTGACTTGAGGGCACGTGTCCTGTTGCCTGCTCCACGGCCAAGCAGCTGTGCTGGGCACACAAAGTGCTGGTTGCAGCTCTCAGCTCCCTCAGTCCACCTAAGAGGTCCAGGAGCCAGAGAAGAAAGGCAAAGGTTCCAGCCCCAGAAGGGACAGGGCTTCATTTCCTCCAGGAGCTCGAGGAAACAGACTTCTCTTGTTTCTCTTGGTTCCCAGGCAACTTCCCTGTGTGTCCTTTCCCTCCTTCAGAAAAGAAGAAGTTGCTTCATTCTGGCAGTGAGCCCAGACCCAGCTCAGCTCTGTCCAACCTCCAGAGGGACTAGGTATTTTCCGATGTGTGCCGATTTCCCCGTCTTTGGGAATGATGTGACCTGATCCAGCCCACAGGGCAAAGATAGCTTAGCAGGGGAAAGGTTCCACTGTCTCTTGAAGAGGAAGTCTTGTCGTCCTCCCTTGACGAATAACCCAATTCTTGAAGGAATTATAGGTGGGAACTTTTGTCACAGTTACCCTCAAACATCTGTTAAGATCCCATAGTATAGCCTAGTACAAACATCCTAGACCCTTGGGATCAGTGCAAAACTGTTTGTACCATGGAAAAATTGTTGATAGCATTTTTTATTTTTTTAAGTTTCCATTACGATTTCATAACTATAGAGAGGAACTTCATTTCTAGGTATTATAAATCGTGGCACACCCTACTGCCCATCACATCATCCTGTCCTACACAACTCCAATTTCTCTCAGATTGTTCGGAAGTCGACTCTTCTCCCTTTCCCTTGTTCTTCAGAGTGGTCCACTGGAATAAGGAAAGGAAGATTCTTGGCTTGGTTCTTGTTTTCTCATCCAAAGATGATACTAATTTTCATGAGACAGTAGCCCAGTTCCAATGACATCTTTTAATTAATGAAGAAATGAATTGTGGCAGTGATGATAGAGACAGTTCAGTTTTGTATTCAAGTTACTTGTTCCGAGGATTTTACAAGCAGCAACACAACATGGTCATGGAATGTGCCATGATGTCAGTAAGAGAAAGCAAGCTCCAGATTGTATTTGTTTAAGGCTCCACTTTCCTTCAGTGCTCAGCTGATTAGCTTCCAGCATCACACAATAAAGTTGAACTATTCTTCCTGGAAAGAACAGCCTTGCTGAAGGAGGAACCCATTTATTGGGGAAAGTTTATATTTTAAAACAAGTGGTTGTAGCTTGGGTCTTGTTTAGACTTGAGAGCATAACTCCTCACAAAAGTGTTAATGAGCTTGTTTTATTGGGAAGTAGTAATCTACGTGGCATAATTCAGCAAAACCATTTTTAAGGAAGTGAACAGCAATAAACTGAACAATAAACGGTCATAATAACAAAATCTTTTCCATTGGAAATATGTTAGGATGAACAAAGGTGGTGCAGTAGGGTGGACATTCTCGGCACTGAGCCAGGTGTTGGCCTGGTTAGAATCCAGCTAAGCAGTTCCTGCCCATGGAGACCTTACATTCTGTAGAAAGAGGGGGACTTGAAGTCAGGAGGTGGGGTTTGGATCTGAGCTATGGGAGCAGAGGCTAGTGAGGCCATGTCACAGAGCCCCAGTTTTCTCATGTGAAAATGAGGATAATAATATACCAAATACATCACAGCGTGGCTGTGAGGAAAGCATCTTATCAATGTGGAAGCTCTATAGAAATATGAGTGGCTATTATTAGAAGGGGCTGGGGGTGGCGCTAAATGGTCAGGTCTCTGTGTGGAGGACAAATGACCCCATCCTCCTGAGGCAAGGCCAGCTTGTGCCATTTTCACAGGTGATTTGGAAGGCTGGGTACTCAGGACCACCCCAGCTCTTGAAGAAGCAGTCTTGGGGTTGCATTGAGTCCTTGGCTATTGTCCAAAGACACCAGTGTTTCAGTTGGCTGCCACCAAGCAGCCCAGCACTGCCCAGGGGCTGTGGGGAGAAGCACGAATATGCTCTTCCTGGTCTGAAACAAAGAAGGCTTTGAGCCTTCTCACCCAAGATGGGGTGCTGAGGATGACACAGGCCCAGTTTGGGGGTTCTTCAGCAAAGGGAACTAGAGAAGATGCAGAGAAGGGGGACAGAAATGAAAGAGAGCTCCTGGGAAGAGACTGAAAAAAAGCAGGCCTGGGACTGGACAGAGAGGAGAGTGGAATCTAGAATATAACAAATAGGGCACAGCGGGTCCAGACGGGCTTCATGACAATTCTGCATGACATATAATGCACAGATTGCTATTTGCATTTTACAGGTGAGGAAACTGAGGTTCTGAGGGGAAGTATCTTGCTTGTGATCACATACCTATGAAGAGTCAATATTATATAAAATCCTCAAAGGCAGGAATTGATTCCTTTTTTTATCTTCATATTCCCAGGCCTCATACCAGCCCTGACTCTGCTTGAGTGGTTGATTTTTTGAACGTAAGTGTGTCAGATTTTCCATTTATCCCCTATTCTATTCTACTAAAGCCCCACTGGCTTGGAAGCAATCCTGGTTCTCCAACGACAACTTTGGCCGCCATTGTCCTGGTGGTTGGAGGTTGGCCATGATGCCCTTTCAGAGCCATTCTCTCACTAGAATTTCACAACAGTCCTAGGAGGTAGGTGACAAAGGAGGGTTATCAGGCCCCTTTTACAAATGAGCAAACAGAGGCTCAGAGACACTAGTTGCACAGCTCATAGGGAGAGATGAGATTTGGACTCAGGGTTCTACTAAGTTCTTCTGCCGGCAGAGTGTACAAAGCTTGAATAGCATCAGGCATGGGCCTGGGGCAGCCTGGATGGCCTTTGTCCAAGGCCCTGCTCAGCTAAGTGTGAAGAGGCCACAGCAGGGGGGTATCTGGCCTTACTACTGAGTCACAGAGGGTCTGCGTGAGTGGAAGTTACCCACAGTGATCATGGAATCATCCAATCTGAACTCTAGAGTTAGAATGGATCTCAGAGGCCATTTGTCCATCCTTGCCCCATTTCACAGGTGAGGAAACTGAGGCCCACACAGAGAAGTGATTTGCCCAGGGTGATACAGTTAGTCAGCATAAGAAGCAGCATTTGAATCAG